CCCCCCCCAAAAAAAAAAAAGAACAACAACTCACAAACGGCTCCAGCATCCCCGCCAAAACCGAGGCACAAAGCAGATCGAGGCCAAGAAGGAGGAGCGTGCAGCCACCAATGAGGAGCCACCAAACTTCCTAGGGGTGATCTGTGTCTACAAGTCTACAGGTCATGTCGCCATCCGCACAGCGGCTCTCTTAAAATTGAACGTCACCTCTGGGGGATTTTCCAAAACTCTGTGCTGCAGGGCTATCGTTTAAGTCTAAGTGGCTTGAAGGTGGTTCTGTTTCGATTTCCCACCTTCTGGCCAAGGTTTCGGGCGCTGAGTCGCGTGGATAGTGGATACGGGGTTCAAGATGAGGAAGAGCGCTTAGGTTGAATGTCGGCTTAAGGCTAGACAGTATGGCCTTGTTTTGCCTCATGGTTGTTGCTGGCTGATTGGCTAGCTGAGCTAGTTTTTAGGATCAAGTTAGGTGTTGAACATGCGAAGCGTGTGGGGTGCGCAGGGTTGACGCTCGGAAACGATGGTTCATTGGAGGTCCGGGACGTGTGTGAAAGAAAACTGAAGCCTCAACAGCCACAGACAACACCCAAAGTCCCAAACCTTCAGCCCTGAACCATGTACCAAAACTTAGTCTATCAGCAGTGCACGAAGCCGAAGACCTGAAAACGCACAGGAGCGCGCCATGAAGAAGCCGCCCAGCCGAAACTGGAGGGCTTTCCGAAGTAGCAGGTACTAGTTCTCTGCGCGGTCAAGTGTTTCAAGGATCTACAGTTGAATTCCGGCAACAACTTCACGGCAAGTTCTGGCAGTCGTGACTGCTGGCTAGCTTTCAACACATTTGAGAGGGTAGGCCGGTCCAGTGCTGCTGATGCTGCTGGTGGTGGTGGAGGAGTCGTGGTAGTGGTGTGGCAGGAGTAGCAGTGCAGGAGTACTGGGAGCAGCAGTCGTGGTCGTCGTCGTAGTCGTTGTCGCAGTGGCAGTGGCGGTGGCGGTGGCTCTGGCAGTGGTGGTTGTCGTAGTCGTAGTCGTAGTCGTCG